TACTCATTTTGTCTAAACATGAAAAAAAAATTCTGAAGTCCAAATTAGCGAACTGTCAAAAATTTACTTTTTAAATGATATTGATATTCTAATTGAGTCAATAACCAATGACAAAAGTGGGTATACATCCACACCATATACTCACTAAATCTCAGAGTATACCCTTCAGTGGTTTTTTGAGTCTCAATAGAGTATTTATCTTCCTGTTATTTTATTCTATGCCCTAAATCAGCATGACATTCAAATGTTAAATTTGGTATCCAAAAATCAAGCAACTTTTCTACTGCAATGTAAAAATGAAAGCATATGATTATAAAAATGAACTAAAATAAAGCACTTCATATGAAACATGTATCAAATATATTTGTGCCCTGGTTCCTTGCGTCCCTGGTAAATAAGACGTCACAGCCCGGGTTGAACATTCTGGCCTCAAAACAGGTCGGTTGTTCCGGCCCAGGTATAAATTATATTTGTATGTGTTAATATATTAAATGAACAATGAATGTATGATTATCTTATTCACAACTTATTTTTCGTCTTTTGTCATACATTTTCACAGTTCATGGAAAGAATGCGCAATGCAAGAGCCGTTCACACCTGCTCTGGTGGCGCGATGTCAAAGCATGCACAACAGAAGTTGATCATTTAACTTTGCGGCAAATTAAAGACATCTTGCTACATTTTCACATCCCGACTACTGTTCTTAATTTATTCACACAATTCCCATGGAAACACATTCCAACAACCACAAAAATGTGGACCCTTAGCGTATCGAAATGTATCGACTGACAACCAGAACACAATGTACAAAGAACCAGTTTATTTGTTTATTTACTGATAGACCAATAAAACTTTGTGTAACATTGATTAAACCGACTTTCGGCAATGTTTCACACCTGGCTGAGTTTTATGTTTGTGTTTGAGCATACATGTGTCTGCTTATAGTATGGAAAACCCAAACAACACTTCTCAAACCCTAGGGGGTAGGGGAGCTGTGCAACTGAGTGGGTGAGGCGAACTTGCATGAAAAATCCGGACAATGACTTAATGACTAATGGATATTCGTCAGGGTTATTGAAACATGAGGCAAAATCAGCTAGCAATGAGGGGAAAACCCATGGGGTAAACATTGAATAAGAAGATAAACAATCTGGATGAATCATTCATTACAGTATATTCAAATTTAAAATAACAATGTTTCTTTGATTGTTTATAGGAACAACACTATTTGTATAGTTTGAAGTAGTCTAAGAACTATTCTTATTAATAAAATTGAAATTATGGCGAAGGATAAAGATAAAAAAAAGAAAGAAGGTAAAGAGAAGGAAGTGAAGTCTATCATGACTACAGAATCAGTAAAAGTTATTTCAGAATCTGTGGGAATTGATTCATTATCTGATGATGCGCTGACACTATTGGCTGATGATGTTACATATAGACTCAAAGAAATGACACAGGTGAGTTTTGACATATTTGCTGTCACTGTGCTTGGGTACAAATGCTAATATTCAGGCGTAGTATCACCTCAAGTTGGTATCATAATGGGTTTGTCGACTTATAGCCTTAAGGCTTTGCAAATTGATTTCAAAAATGGAGCAATGATGCAATTTATGTTGTTGCAAAAAAACTGTGGGCACACTCTGAAGTGGTAAAATTAGTTGAAAAAAAAAATGATTGGCCCACATTTTTTTTGATGGTGCACATGCTGACCAGAAGCATAAACTTTTTTGTTAGGCCTTATGACTTTATCTTCAGTGTTATTTCTTCCATTTTTTTATTATTAGGAATCAATCAAATTTATGAGGCATGGTAAAAGAAGGAGATTGTCAACTACTGATTTTGATCATGCATTAAAAGTGAGAAATGTGGAGGTATGTATTTGTATCAACTCCCCTCCATTTGCCTACTATTTGCTGTTTTTGAATTTTACACTTTTTACAAAGTACACAACATAATTTTTGATTTAGAATGTCTGATTTTAGTTACACAACATTAATTTTTCAATCCATAAAATAAAGAATTAAAGGCTGATGATTATAGTTGTTTCTCAATCTTTTGAAATTCAATTTGAATGTGAAAAGCAAATGTGACCACTTGTTTTGTATATAACTGCACAGTCTCTTTATTTTTAGCCTTTGTATGGTTTTCAAGCATCAGAGTTTATTCCATTTCGATTTGCCAGTGGTGGCGGAAGGGAATTACATTTTAATGAAGAAAAAGAAACAGATTTGAATGATATCATCAACACAGCTCGGCCAAAGATCCCTGTTGATGTTTCTCTAAAAGGTATTATTAGCACGTATTATTACTTCATTCTATGGCAATTAATCTGAATTTATAGTGTATGTTAAGTTTGTATTTTTATAGGACTCTGTGTAGTGTAGTGTAGTGATGTATCGTGCAATTTAATG